AAAGCTATGCGGTAGACTGCTGCTTGTCTCCCCAGATTCTTTCTGTCCTTCCTGTAGAGCCCCAATGGCTCAGTAGGTCGCCATTAGTAGGCTGGACGACTATAGCTCTCAGCCGCCTTAGCAGTTTTGGCTAATGACATGAAAGCAGAAATACTGTGGCTCACTCCAGAAAGCCCAAAAGGGGTCATGCTTACTCCTCCTCCATCTCCTTTATTCTGGTTATCTCCTGCTACATAACAAACCACCCCCAAACGTAGTGGCTTAGAAACCATATATATTACGTGTCATGATTCTGTGACAGCACGTCCAGGCGGACACACTCACACAGCAGGCCGTCTTGCTGGCTGTTGACTCAGCGGGGACTGTCAGCCAGAGTGCGCACCTGTCTCCTCTTCTCGTGGTTGGGCTTTTTACAGCACGGAGATCCAAGACCGAGCATCCCAAGAGCAAAGGCCTTTCCTTGGGCTCCCAAGAGGAGTGTTGTAGCTCCAGGCCTCAAAACCACTTCAAACAAGGACAGTGGGGAGGAGCCTCTGCCGTCATTCCAGAATTATCAGCAGAATCCTCCTGGTGTCTCACTGGCTTTGAGGAGTCATGGGCCTGTCCCTGGAGCAGGCACTGTGCTGGGGGCAGTGTGAGACTGTCACTGGCCGACTTGCGCCGCAGGACACTCCAGGCCCCCGGTGTAGAGTCAGCTCCAAACAGAGTGACAAAATGCCCCACCTTGCCCAGGATGAGCCTGGCTTACACCTTTGGACCTGGCAGAATTATGCGCAGGGCCCCCCTTTTACTCTTAAGTGTCCAGTTTGAATAACGAGGTTTTTGTGGTCACCCTAGTTTTAGGATCCAAATCGGCTGAGAATGGAAAAAGGGAAAGATTTCCCAAATCCCAGTCTCTAAAATTGTACCTGGAGCATGGAGAAGTGGGTTTAAGGCAGTGAGAAAACAGCAGAAGTCTACTGCACCGGGTGAGTTCCACATCGGGTTTAGAACAAGCCTTCACTAGTTGTGTGTTGGGGCGGGCTGTGGCTGGAGCACAGGGAAGTGACAAAGACGGGCAGTTACGTGTTGTGTCTCGGGAAGTTCCATCCAGCGTCATCTCGACGCTACACGTCTGGTTTCTGTGTCCAGCTTTGTGGGAGGGGCTTTGGGAAGTAAGAAGGTGGGTTACTTAGGGTACCCTGCTTGCACGTGGGGAATCGTGCTGGGGAAAGAGCACTAGCCTCCGTGAAACAATATGCTCCTAACATTAAGTAGGAACATATATATAGTTTGAAACACACAGAAGGTTTTGCAGGTCCGTGAAAGGAGAAATCCTGTGGGCTGGAGTGTTCATGAGAATCTTAAGGGAAATCTGGACTGGAATCTGAAACACGGTCAGATTTAAGCAGCCCGGGAAAGAGGGAGCACTGCAGTGTTGAGGACACCGTGTGCACGCAGGGAGGTTGGGCGGCCCACAGCCCATGAGAATATGTAGAGATGATGAAGGGGGCTGATTAGGAGGGTTTGTGGGGGAAAGTGAGAGATACGTGTCTGACCCGCAGGTGATGGAAGGACGTGAGATGGACAGGTCGGTGTTAATATATTCAGTATCAAAACATAGATCGCATGAATTAGGCGTCAGTTTCCTACCTCACAGGCAGCCATGCCCTCAGTAATGCAAGGACAAGTGGGAGGGGTGGACGCAGGCAAGGGCTCCGTCAGTCATTCAGTATTGTTTATTGAGCACCTACTGTGTGCCTTGCAGTCCCAGACTCTGCTGCCCGAGATGAGCTCACATCCTTGCCGGGAGACCCAGAAAAAACTAGCAAAGGAGCGAGAAAGTAACAGGGAATGATAAGTGCTTGTCAGAGAAATCCAACAGGGTGATGGATAGAGGACCTGGGCTATTTCACACTGAGCGGTCACGGAGGACTTCATGCCTAATTCAGGGGGAGGAGCATTTCAGGCAGCAGGAGCAGCTAAGACAAGGCTGCCTTTGCCGGGATCGGAGGTCTCTCTGAATGGCCCTCTTCTCCCGCGCCCTGGCCTGTGTGTTTGCTTGCATCTCTGCATTCCAATTTCTCAGTCCAATCCGGTCTTGTGGGTCCAGGCTGGTTTCTTTGGTTTTTCTCTGCCGCCCTCGGCAGCCCTATTCATCTGCCACCTTGGGCTCTTTCCTGCGACCTTCATGCCGGCCAGCCTTGTTCTTTTTTTTTTTTTTTTAAGATTTTATTTATTTATTTGAGAGAGAGAATGAGAGAGAGCAGGAGAGGGAAGAGGGTCAGAGGGAGAAGCAGACCCCCCCCCACCGAACAGGGAGCCCTATGCGGGACTCGATCCCGGGACTCCAGGATCCTGACCTGAGCCGAAGGCAGTCGCCCAACCGACTGAGCCACCCAGGCGCCCCGGCCAGCCTTGTTCTTATCTCGGGGTTCTGTTCGCTAAACACACAGCCTCGCACGGTGCCCTGCCATAGTGAGACAAATATGTGTAAGCTACAAAACACATCGATTTGGTCCATTTTAAATGATGCTGTCAGACCCTGATTTATCTCTTACTGCTGTTCACCAGTTATTACTTTATCTTCCTCAATTACTCATCTGTTTGCAAGACTGCTCTCCCTACATCCTACTTTATAATTATAGGAAGTCTCTGCAGCCGGACGTGCTACTCTGATTGAGGACAAACTCTCTCTCATTCCAAAGATGAACTAGAAGCAGTTTCTTTCTTAGCTTTTAAACTTATATTTTATAGGAAGATAAAACACAAAAAGAAAGCCTAAACCAGGGCAATGTCAGAGAAGGTGACATGTCCCAAGGATGGTGGAGGTAGAATCGGCAGGCTTGGTTACTGGAGTGGAGGTTGGGCTTGTTGAGGAGTGAGGCCAGGTTTCTAGTTTGGGGAACTGTGTGGATGATGATACCCACAGTGGAAATGGGGAATAAGTAAGGGAAATGGAACCACACCAGATGGTGGGGGGAGCGGTGGGGAATCCCAATACCCAGGTCTCGTTCTGCTCGTGCTTCTGGCAAGTCCAGGCAAGAAAACCATTCACATCATCTGCCAAGAAGACTAAATCGTCTATAGGTTTGACTTTCCTGCCTTAGGATGTTCAGATAATATCGATAGTCTTTGAGACTTGTAAAAAATCATGTCCTTTTGAAGAATGCCATTAAATTACCATATTTGGGCTTAAAACACCTCTCTCTCTCTCTCTCTCTCTCTCTCTCTGTCAAACTTTAATGCCCCAGGGAGGAAAGAGGAGGATGCCTAGGCAGAAAGGAGATTTCTGAGTTCCTGTTTCTGGCACTCCAGGGTTTAGAGCACTGGAGAGGAGCTCAGCAGTGGTGTGGACCCTCCGAGCCCCACAGGAAATAGGTCTCTCTTCTTTGGCCGGGGAGAAAGAGCGCTCCTCCCGGCAGGCCTCAGCCCAGACCTGGGTTTTGCTGCCTCAAGCTGTCCAGAAAACTGCCGTCGGCCCTTCGCGCTTGGAGGCATTGGTAATGCACAAAGGCACTATGTGTGCTGCTGGGGGCCACGCACATCCCTACACTGCAGACACTTTAGGGGACACCTGCTAAAGGGTGGCAGCATCCCATTCTGAAGGGGAATGTGCCTGGAGACCCTCAGTCCCCACGAAGGGGGCTGTCCTGGGGGGCGACAGGGACGTCGGAACCTCTTTAGAAATGGTGGCTGAGACAGAAACTAAACACATCCTTGCACCTCTCAAGGGATTTCATACTCAGGTATGAAACTCTCGTGGACACATATAAGGGAGAGGAAAAACTCATTTGACTCGTGATTCCCTCACCAACACCTCTCTCCTTTACAAGAAAATTACTGCGTCCTGATGGGATTTTTGTTTTAATGGTGAGACAAAACTATAATCACCATTTTTCAGAGATCCCCTGTGGACACTGACGAGGGGCCGTGGAGGATAGGAGAGTCCCAGGAGGGTTCTTCATTTTGGAATTTGCTGCTTATTCTTGCCTTCCCATTTTTAATTAAAAATAACTTTTATTTGCCTATTACTTTATTATTAGATTTTTATGTGTTCAACTCAGAAGGAAATGTAAATACAATAGGCTTGAAGAAGAGAATTAAAATTGCCATTCCTTAAGAGGTAATCGTTACTTACGACTTGGCGTGTGTATCTTTACACTCATTTCTCACTGCATGTATAAACATTTCTTTCATTACCAAAAAGGAGAAAATAGCAGTTTGTTCTTACATTGAAACCTAGAGTTTTTTCACTTATATCATATACAGATTGCCATGTATTCAAAATTCTTCTACACATTTTTCTATGGGTGCCCTGGTGTCCTGCACCATGAATGTGTCCTGCCCAGTTTAATCAATCTCCCAGGCTTGAAAATTGGGATTTTTTTTTCTAACTTTTCTATACCACAGTGACTCCGCCATAACCACTGTGCCTATCTTTGTAACTAAACCTTTGTAGACATTCTGACATACTTCTTCAGGATAATTTCTTACAAATAGCCCTTCTGAATCAAAAGACATGCACATCTTGGGGTGCCTGATGCTAATCTCTCTCTTCAGAAAGGCTACAAACCACCAGCAGCACATGCAAGTGCTTATTTCTCTGCGACTTCACGATACCAGAGGGTTTTCTTTTGAAGGCTCTAAAGAGATGGTATCTCAGGACCTCACCCGCATGCCCCTAACTGCTGCTAGGGCTTCTCTTCTTTCCCTCTCAGTGTCTCTTCTCCGGCTACCTCACTATTCCCAAGAGACAGCACCATGGAGTAGTCAGGGACCGCCTAGGCTCCACTCCTGTCTCACTGGTCAGCTGTTTGATCCCGAGCAAGTAACTGCACCTCAGTTTCTGCATCTGTAAAATGGGATAACATGTAACTCACGGAGTCACCGTAAGACTTCAGTGACTTTATACATGCAAATCACCCTGGCTCGTGAGGATAACATCAGTTAGCTGTTGTTTGCCCATTAAATACATAGATGTGTAAGAGCACTTTATCAAAAGAGTGTATCTTCGGGGCGCCTGGCTGGCTCAGTCGGTAGAGCGTATGACTCTCAATCTCAGGGTCATGAGTTCAAGTCCCATGTTGAGCATGGAGCCTACTTAAAATAAAAATTAAAACAAAAAAAGGAATAATATCTTGACCCTATACTTTGCAAATACTTTTTCCTTGTCTTTCTTTTCTTAAGAATCTTTCATAATCTTTACTTCAGAGGTTTGACAGGAATAGGGAACAAGATCTTTAAAATGACACTATTTTTTCCAAATATTATCACTGGTAGTTTAATATTTGTGTCTCCTGACGGATTTGGTCAGGAAAATTACTTCAAGATTTACATCTGGAATTTTTTTCCTAGTTGGGGTTGGTAGGGATGCTCCTAACCCCAAGCACACTCGGTCAGCACTTATTTCGTTGCCTTCACCTGAGCAGAGAATACTGCTAGGGACTGGTTTCTATCTTCAACTACTGGGAAGGCAATGGTGTAGAAGGAAATAGGAAGTTGACTCTTAGCACAGGGGTTAGGGGCCATGCTCCCAACCCCCCACAGTTGAAAATCCGTGTATAATTTTTGATTCCCCCAAAACTGAACTAATAGCCCACTGTTGACTGAAAGCCTTACCGTTAGCATAAAGCATAAATATTTTGTATGTTATTTGTATTATATATTGTATTCTTTTTTTTTTTTAAGATCTTACTTATTTACCTGACACAGAGAGAGACACAGCGAGAGAGGGAACACAAGCAGGGGGAGCGGGAGAGGGAGAAGCAGGCTTCCCGCGGAGCAGGGAGCCCGATGCGGGGCTCGATCCCAGGACCCCGGGACCATGACCTGAGCCGAAGGCAGACGCTTAACGACTGAGCCACCCAGGCGCCCCTTATATATTGTATTCTTACAATAAAATAATCTAGAGGAAAAAACGTTACTGAGAAAATCCTAAGGAAGAAAAAATGCAGTTAAAGCACTGTACTGCATTTATCCAAGAAAACAATCTGCGTATGGATAAGTGGACCCATGCAGTTCAAATCCTTGTTGTTCAGTTAACTGTACTTGCTTCTGTTATTCTGAAGGGTAAAAGTTACCGGGATGTAAATCTAGGCCTAACCCAAGGAGGAACTTTTTAGCCCCTGACATGAGCTGCCTGGGAGGCAGTGCCCCCCTGAGTAGATGCATTCAAGCACAGACCGAACGCAGAGCAGAGATAATTGCCTCGGGTGGAGCCCTGGATTAGAGGAACACGAGGCCTCCTCATAATTTAAGATTTATTTTCCCCTAAATTCAATCTGTGCACCAATACTCCTGGCTCTTAAATTGCCTGATCAGAAGCTGTATCAGCCTTATCTGGTCTCCCCCTCTTCCTTTCAGCAGACTGCCAAACTCCCCACCGACCCCTCAGGCAGCGGGGTCCCCAAGAGAAGAGGGGAGCATGGTTTTCCTTTAGCCATTTGTACGTGGCCACATCGACCCAAGTCTGGTCTCCCTAAGTCAGAGTTTTCCCCATTATTCCAAGAGCTCCCTTCCTACCATTGTTGAAATTCAACGATTTCAGTCTGTGCCTGAAAAAAAAAAAAAAGGCCAGAAGTAACAAGCCGAGTAATTTATTTGCAGAAATATTCAGAAAGATTCATTGAGATACTTCCATTCTGTGTAGGTTTTGCTAGAAATCTCAGACCCTGGATAGGGTTCTGGACGTATCTTGAATTAGGATAACCTGAGAGGAAATGTGGAGCCACTCTGAAATCCTCACCTTACTGTTTCAGGGGGCTCCAGGTGGGGTCCTGTTATACGGTAACCCACCCTGACTTTCAGCTGGAGCTCACTGTTTCCTATATTATATCCTATATCCTGGCTCAGTCGGTGGTGCGTGCGCCTCTTGATGGGGGTTGTCAGTTTGAGCCCCATGTTGGGGGTAGAGATTACTTTAAAAAAAAAATCAAAAATGTTAAAAAATTTGTTTAAAAATTACCAAAATTAAACCCCTGAAAAGGGATACCATCTCAAGGAATGGATGGCCTTAAATCAAGTCCTGGGAAGAGCTTTGGACAGAGCTATCCCGACTGCTTCAGAAATGGGGTGATTCGATTGGAGCCCACAGTGAGGCTGCTGGTGAGGCAGTTGGATGCAGAACTGGACCAGAGCCTGTGGGGCGGAGATGGCGGGAACTAGTTGGCCCTAGTGCTCTCCCACGCGGCCCCTCCTCCCTTTCACTGTCATTGTCAAGGCCCTTCTGTAAGGTTCTTTTTCCTTCGTCTTAATCTGATCATCTAACATTAAAATGTAGTTAGGAAGGGAGGAAGCAAACAACGCTCCTCCCAGAGCTCTGAGCCCTGCAGGGAGTGCCGGACAAATGTAAATTGTCATCCTCTTAACCACAATCAGCACTGTGGCCCAGAGCCCCCAGCCCCCCACCCAGCCCTTCCTCTGGTAAACAAGAGGATGCAAACCCAGAAACATGTCTTGACTAATCAGAAACACTCACAGAAAACAGTCTCTTGGAAGCGTCCAGCCTCAGCCAGTGGCCTCCAGGACTGGTCTCGGCTCCCCCTCTGCTGGCTGTGTCACTCACACCCCCCGGGCGGCCATCTTGCCAGTTGAGGATAATTAGCCTTTGATTAGTGCTGGTTGTGTTTTCATCGGCTCCGTTTCCAAATTCCTGTAATTTCCACTTCACCCAATTAGTATATTTTGGCCCATTCTCTTCCAGCAGACTGAGAACAGAGACATCACCCGCAGAAATAATAACCTTATTTCTAATAAATCAGGTGACACAGCTCTTTATGGTGGGCTCCAGCCGCTTTTTTTGCCCAAGACCTTAAAAATGTAGTTCCTCTAATCCTCTACTTCTATCCTTTTTTTTTTTAAAGATTTTTTTATTTATTTATTGAGAGAGAGAATGGTAGAGAGAGAGAGCACGAGAGGGAAGAAGGTCAGAGGGAGAAGCAGGCTTCCCGCTGAGCAGGGAGCCCGACGCGGGACTCGATCCTGGGACTCCAGGATCATGACCTGAGCCGAAGGCAGTCGCTTAACCAACTGAGCCACCCAGGCACCCTCTACTTCTATCCTGAAATGAATGCTATCTCAAGAAAGAGATGACCTTACATCAAGTTTCTGGGAAGAATATTTTGATAGAGCTAAATAGTCTAGTTCTAGTTCAGAAGTTGAGTGATACATGCATGGATAGCCTTCCATTTTATGAGCCCCCCACCAACATGCTTCCAGCCTTGCTGGGGACACAGAGGGACCTTCAGTACTTCATCAAAGTGTGAACTGCACAATAGGTGTCCTATGAGCTCTTCCCCCCAAATAAGTTCCCCATGACAAGAAATTCTGCAGAGCATGGGTTATATTACATGTTAATGAGCATAAGAAACCTCCACTTCATTTGATCCAATATTTCCCAAATTTACTTGGTGGTAGAACCTTTTCTTTTAAAGATTTTATTTATTTATTTGACAGAGACACAGCGAGAGAGGGAACACAAGCAGGGGGAGTGGGAGAGGGAGAAGCGGGCTTCCCGCGGAGCAGGGAGCCCGATGCGGGGCTCGATCCCAGGACCCTGGGACCATGACCTGAGCCAAAGGCAGACGCTTAATGACTGAGCCACCCAGGTGCCCCTTTCTTTTTTTTTTTTTTTTTTTGGTGGAAACTTTTTGAAGGCAGCACTTAGCCAGATACAAAGTAGGCCCGCAGTAAACACCTGTCAAATGAATAAATGAATTCTCCAAAGAATACACACTGAAAGATGTTGCTTTAAACCAAAGGATTATGTAGTATGGGAATATTAAATTTAAAATTCAGGAGATCTCTTTTCAGATGGGTGGCCCTTACTATGTGTACCCAGAGTCAACCCTGCTTTGAGACATGCCCAGCTCCCCTAGCAGGTCAACTCCCTGAGGGAAGAGATTGTGTTTTTTCATCCTTTTATCCATTCCTAGCATGGAGCAGAATGCCTGGTGCCTAGTGTGCGCTCTTAATAAATAAATCCTTGAAGGAATCAATAAGTAATGAATGCTTAAGGGATTAATAAATTAACTAATTAATGTCGCTGTTAGTATGAGACTCTCCCAGCTAAGAAAGAAGTTCTAAGAAATTCTTAGAAGTCATCTTGTCCAGCCCTTATTCTATAGGGGAAGGAACTGAGACCAGTAGAAAATTGAATGGTTTGCCTGAGATCACCCACTGAATGAGTCTTAAATGGATGTTATGGCTACTGTTTGGCACATAGTACCTAATGCTAAGGCACTAAACCCAACCAGCTTGGGTTGTTTTAAACTGTATGTAGATACGATACTCCTTGTTGTAAACCAACTTCTTCAATTAAGCAAACGCTACACACAGGCACCATTTGTTAACTTATAACGAAAATACCAACAATTATATTACAAATATGTTTAATATTATCAGCTCCAAGAACAGGAATGTTCAAATACCTGAGAGGTTTTTAACTTTGGTACAATCACTTTAACAATCAGATTACCCAGGGAATTTTCCCTTCAGTATTTCTTACATTTTACAGAAGCTTTTTGTTGTTGGTTGTTTTTTTTTTTTAACTCCCCATTAAGTTCTTTGAAAGCTCAGAAGGACACACATCTATTCCCTTCTGCAGTGGACTTATTCTCCAGGGAATGGTGGGAGGTTTGTTTTGCTAACAGAAGGATGAATGATCCTCGAAAAACTTCTGGCCTTTTCCTGGTAAAAACTGAACAGGGATAATTGGTTTGGCCAGTGGAGTATTGAATTGGTCTACAGAAGGCCTGAGGGACTCTCTAACCTGTCCATTCCAATTTTCTTACCTTCACACTCGCCAAATCCAAATAAATAATAGATCAGGTGATCGGATTTTAGGAGCAACAACTTGGCCCTTATGTCCAAAAACATTTCCTCTCTATTTTCCTCACGTACTAAATTCTACAATAGGATTTTCATCATTTGGACTGAAGTTTTGGCCACGCCTCCCAGCTCACAAAATGTCGTGGTGTGTGAAGTTTGTAGTAGGGTAAAGGGAGCAAGCTCCGAGCAAGACAGTTAAGAGTTGATACTCCAGCTTTGTCGCTCATTAGGTGCCCAACTGTAGACACATCATGTCAGCCTTT